CAGAAAGAATAAACCAGTTTTACTTAAGAAAGGACTTATGTCGCTAAAGTTTCTTCGGAAAGAATTTTTACGGAAAATTAACTAACGAACGGAGGCGTAACAAATTGGTGTCAGAGAGTGGGACGGAAAAGAAAAAAAATAGAAACAAGAAGCGGCAAATCAAACTACAGCTTAGAAGATTTGATGGCAGCAATACAAGAACAGCAAAAGAAACAAAAAGAACGAGAAAAGAAACAAGAAGAGAGATTACAGCAGTTGTTGGACGAAAAACAAAATAAACAAGAAGAGAAATTACAGCAGTTGTTGGAGGTAAAAGAAAAGAAACAAGAAGAGAGATTACAGCAGTTGTAAGAAAACCTACAACAGTGGTAGCTCGAACAGCAAAATAAACAAGAAGAGAGAGATTACAGCAGTTTTTGGAGGAAAAAGAAAAGAAACAAGAAGAGAGAGATTACAGCAGTGGCAACTAGAACAAGAAACGAAACAGGAAGAAAGTCTTCAACAGTTGTAGGAAAGTCAGCAGCAACTACAGGAAAGTCAACAACAGTGGCAAGAAGTACAAATGGAAAACATTAGTAAATTTAAAAGCGAATTAGATACATTAAAGGACGATTTTTTGTCTTTTACACAAGGAGGATACATTAACCATCGACTTAATCAGCCTCAGACAAGGGCAAGCCCCTTCCAGACCCCGCAGCTAGACCCTAATGCAGACATATTCAGCCCTGCTAGAAGTCACATCCCAGATATGAATGTCAGTAATAGGAGTGATCCAGTACGAAGGAAGCCACAGGAATTCGATGGGAAGGCACCGTGTGAAGCATATAGAGCACAATTTGAGCTCCTGGCAGAAATGAATGGGTGGACAAAGGAACAGATAGCAGTATATCTGGCAACGAGCTTGAAGGGACAACCACTGGAAATACTTGGACAGTTGTCAGCAGACGACAGGAAAAACTATAGAGCACTGATACTGGCTCTAGAACTCAGGTACGGAACACAAAATCAGTCTGAAATCTACAGGGCTAGGTTTAGGGCGAGAGTCCGTACTAAAGGGGAGAGCGTGCAAGAGCTGGCACAATACTTGGAAAGTATGGCACACAAGGCGTACCCAACTGCACCACCCGATCTCCTCAAGTTGTTGCTGAGAGATCAGTTTGTAGATGCTTTGGAAAGTCCATAACTAAAGGAACAGGTGAAGCAAGCACACCCCTCTACTATGCAGGATGCAATGGCC